GCCCTCACGCCTGTCTAGGAATGAGGGGGGGAAGCCTATACTTTACAATACATTAACAGCAATACCCAGGGAGGTAGACTGCCCTCTCTGGATTTCACTTCAATAGCCACCAGAATCCCTTTTAACTGGTCCCAGCTTTCCCCAAGGGAGGGATTCCAAACCTTTAGGTTAGCATCTGGGACATAACACATTGAACAACTCCATCTAGAGCTTTGCAGTTAATCTTACCAAGGTAGCATAATTGGTGAGCGGGAGGCTACAAGATTTAGACTTAGAATCCAGTTACAACAATACAGACAGATTAACAATACGAATAGTTTTATTCAGCACAGATCTTAGCACAGACTACAAGGATTACTGAAAACAAGAAATCTATGGCTCTTGGCCCTCACTGAACATTAAAGAGATATGCATAGTTACCAGGATGATCCATAGTCAAGAATGTCCAAGTATACAGTCCAATTAGATCCCAAGGGATCCTCAGCAGAAACTCCATCTTTGTGCAAGCATGCAGCCATGTGCTCAGCTCACAAAGCAGGTCTTTGTTCCACATGGGACAGCATTTCCCAGGTGCAATTTCAACAAGTAGAGAGAAAACAGGAACAGACTGAGCTCCTGCCAAGGGACCAGACTATTATAGCCCAATCTAATCATGACTAGCTGTGGCCATGCAGCCAATCACAAGTAGACAGGGGATGTGGTCAATGGTTAGTTGCCATGGGAGCTTTGAGGGGATAGGTTGGAAGTTTGGAAACCATGCCCGCAGTCACATGGCCCCCCAAACCCCATTGCGTACGTGAGTCTTTGCCTGTGAGCCAGCCATCTGGTCTGGCTTTTGGCATGAATGTGTGAAGGAATGGCCATTGAGGCCAGTTGGCTTCAACAGGAAATACACACAGCATGGTATCAGCAACACATTCCAGGGGAAGGCAGGAAACCTTTAGAAATCAATATTTCTATACACTGGGTAGTTGTAACAATGATCGAGGCAATGCATGTGTGGGGAACTCATGAGAAACTCTAAAGCAGGGCCCCCCAAACCTTTTTGAGCCTGTGAGGCACCTTTGGGATTCTGGCATGGGGTGTTGGGAGTAACCTCAAAATGGCTGCCACAGGAAGCACACCTATCCACAAAATGGCTGCCACAGGAAGTACACCTACTCACAAAATAGCTGCCGCATGAGGCGATGCCAACCACACAGAGGAAGCTCAGGTACAAGGGAGGAGAGGGTAATTAAAATAAAAAACATCGGGGAAGAATAATGAGAGAAAATGAATACAATGTGGCAGCAGCTGCTGCTGAAACGTTATTTTAATCTGCACAGCCAAACAGATCTCTGGTGGCCAAGAAACCCTCCTGTGCAAGAGCCCTACCTGGCCCCACTGACTTTCTAAGAACACTTGGTGAGCACCTGGAAAGGTATTGACAGGCCCCACGGCTCCCAAGGGTGCCACGTTGGTGTCTCATGTTCTAAAATGTAAGATATAAAGCTAAGTAATATAAAGCTTTAAAAGCCCTATATGGCCAGGGTCTGACATACCTGAGGGGCCACCTTTCCCCATATATACCCCAGAGAGCACTGCGATTGGGGTCTCAGAACCGACTGACCACCCCAAGGACGCCAGGCTCACCACTACCAGGGCCAGGGCCTTTTCAGTGGCGGCTCCTTGCTGGTGGAACGAGCTCCCAGAAGAGATCAAGGCCCTGCTGGACCTCTTACAGTTCCGCAGGGCCTCCAAGACGGAGCTCCTCTAACAGGCTTTCGACTCTTCATATGCCATCTCAATTAATTAATGATGGGAAATTAGCATTTATGATTTTATGACCCATTTGTATCTGAATTGTTTTAATGTGATTTTATGTGGTTTTACTGGCATTATGTACCAACTGTCTGAGCTGCCCTGAGCCTGCTTGCGGGGAGGGTGGGGTACAAAGTGAATTAATTAATTAATTAAAATAAATAATTGTTGTATTAAAGATAGAGGCAACCGATGTTGGCAAGATCTACAAGATCCGGATCGGCCATGATGGGAGCGGCATTGGGGATGGCTGGTACTTGGAAACAGTCTCCATTAAGAAGTTTGCCACCAAGGAAGAAAGGAAGAAGAAGAAGAAGAAAAGGAAGTCTGGCGACGAAGAGGAGAACGAACTGCCTTCGATGGAAGGCACCATTGATACGTATACATTTGCAGCCCACCGTTGGCTGGCCAGCGACGAAGAAGACAAGGAACTCGTGGTGGAGCTGATGCCGGAGGAGGGATTGGAACCAGAGGGTAACTTGGGATCACCTGAGCTTGTTTGCTTCTATTTGTGTTCCATTTCGGGGGGGATAGGGCCCTTGCGTCAGAGGTGGAAATCTGTGCAAAGGTTAACCAGCATCTCATAGCCGAGGCACACTTTTATTTCAGAATTAACATCGAAGGTAGCCAGTTTGCACCGGCCAGTTTGCAAACTGAGCCAGTTTGCACCGGCAAGGCGGGATACAAATTGAAGGTAAATAAATAAAAATAAATAAAGGTAAACTCCAAGTGGGGGAAAATGGACTTGAGAGGACAGAATTAAATTGCTTCTCCACACCCACCTTATTTCTGCTCAGAGGGCCAAAGTAAAGAAAATGACATCCACAGGTCTGACCGGAGGACGCCAATGCTATTTTAGAGAGGACGTTTGCCTGATCAGGTGTATGACATAGCGAGACCTGCTGATCTTGTTCCGTCCCCTAGAATCATAGAATCACAGAGTTGGAAGGGGCCACACAGGCCATCTAGTCCAACCCCCTGCAGAATGCAGGATCAGCCTAGAGCAGGCCCGTAGCTACTGTGGGACCCCCTAGTGGTTTTTACAGGCCCTCTCCCCGAGCCTTGGCTCCCCCTCCCCCCTGATCGCCTGAGCACTCACAGCAGGCAGACTGAGGGCAGGTGGCAGGCTCTCCCCTGGAGAGCCAGTTTGGCATAGTGGTTAAGTGCGCGGACTCTAATCTGGGAGAACCGGGTTTGATTCCCCACTCCTCCACTTGCACCTGGCTGGATGACCTCGGGCAAGCCATAGTTCTGACAAGAGCTGTTCTTGAAAAAAGCAGTTTCTCTCAAGAGCTCTCTCAGCCCCACCTACCTCACAGGATGTCTGTGGTGGGGAGGGGAAGGGAAAGGAGTTTGTAAGCCACTCTGAGACACCTTTGGGTAGTGAAGGGCGGGGTATAAATCCAATCTTCTCCTCCTCCTCCTCCTCTTCTTCTTCTTCTTCTTCTGGAGAATGCCCTGTCCCAAGGAACCTCCAAAGCAGTGCAGCTGCCAAAGAAGGGGTAGCACGGCAGCGGGTGCCAGTGGGCAGGGACTTTCACGGGGCCGAGGCGGCAGCGATGAGGTGGCCTTCCGGTCATGCACCCGGTGCACCGCCAGAAAATGGGGCTCGGCAGCCAGCACCACAGAAACCTTCGACTCCTGTGCAGAGGCGGGGACAGGCATGTTGGAGGAGGAGCACACTGCCACTCGCCAGTAGGAGCTCTGCCCTCCCATCATGGTGGCAGCAGCAGCCGCCCCTCAAGCTCAGCCCGTGGGGCGCCGCCTCTCTCCCTCCCTTTCCTGCAGAGGAGTCCTGTGCACCGGCATCCTAGAGCAGGACTTCACTGAGCTGTGCACCAGCTTCCAGGAGATCACCAAGGTGGTGCCCAGGCCCCGTCCCCTGCCCTTCACAGCTGCAGGTGAGTGAGTGGCCTCGGATGACCAAGCCTCTCGTCCTTCCCGGGGAGTTCCAGCACGCAGCATGCCTGCCTTTCTGTCGGGGCCAAGGAGGAGTGCTGCTCGGTTGGGCTAAAGGCAGGGAAAGCAGAGGCGCTGGGGCAGTCCATCCTCTACGCCTCTTGTGCTGGCAGAGGCAAACTAGTGGTTCTGCTCCTCTTCCTCCTTGAGAGTAAGAGGAGTGGCGCCACTAGCTTCCCATGCCGCCACATGAGGCATAGAGAACGGCCCACCCTGGGTTTCCCTTGCCGCTCTTGTTACTCCTCAAGAGGAAGAGGAGTGTCAAGGGAAACCCGGCGTGACCCCCTCCCACATGCTTACATCACTTCTGGAAGTGATGTAGAAAGTGACGTAAGTACATCGAGGCTGGGGCCCTCCATTAAAAATGTCCTAGCTGCGGGCCTGGCCTAGAGCATCCCTGACAAGTGTTTGTGCAGCTGCTGTGTAAAGACTGCCAGGGAGGGGGAGCTCACCACCTCCTTAGGCAGCTGATTCCACTGTGGCACAACCAGGGGTCATTTCCTGCGGGAGCGCACAGGAGCGGAGCTTCGGCAGTAAGGAGCCCAGGGGGTGGGCACATGCAACAAGCCCCGCCCCCTGCTCCCAGCAGCCCTCAGTCGGGCCACGAGGAGCAAGAAGCAGCCAGGTAAGTTGCAGAGCACCCCCCGGCCCGCCTTCAGGTACAAGCTCTCCCTCCTCTGTGAGGGCAGATCTGCGTGTGTCCCCCCCCCAATAGCTAGCAGTCCAAAACAGTCCAGTGGAGCCTGAGCGGTGGGTGTTGCCTTCTGACACATTTCCGTTGATGTCAGGGGGTGTGGCATATGCAAATGAGTTATGCTAATGCGTTATGCTAAGGAGCTCCTGCACCTCTTTTTCTATGAAATGACCCCTGGGCACAACTCTGTCCAAATGTTTTTCCTAAGAACCAGCCGGTACCTTCCCACCCTTAATTTAAACCCATGATTGCAAGTCCTCTCCTCTGCTGCCCACAGGAACAGCTCCCTGCCCTCCTCCAAGTGACAGCCCTTCCAATACTTCAAGAGGGCAATCCTGTCCCCCCCCCAACCTCCTCTTCTCCAGACTGAACTTTCCCAATTCCCTCAGCCTTTCCTCACAGGGCTTGGTCTCCAGGCCCCCGATCATCCTCGTCACTCTCCTCTGCACCCGCTCCATTCTGTCCCACTGCTCAATTTCCCACTATTTGCTGCATGGCTGTATTTTGACCTGCATCTCCCCCTTATTTCCCCCACATCTTCTTGATCCTTATTTTTTAGGTTCAAGAAGACACGGGGGAAATCGGGGGGGAGATATGGGTCAAAACGCAGCCTCGCGGCAAATAGTGGGAAATTGAGCAGCGCAACCGGGGGAAACAGGAGACCGAGGGCGGAACAACTGTTTTTGCGGAATTGATCATATGCTTTAAAGAATGGGGGCGTATGACATTTCAGTCAGTGCTACAAGACTTCCTTTTCACCCTATCTGTAAGTTGGAGGAGTGGAAAGGGTAGCCAGAAATACCGGGCTCAAGTGGTTAAGATGATGAACTGTAGGCTGTGGAAGGTCGGTAGTTCAGCAGTTCAAGACCCGAGTGCCACATGAAGGAGTGAGCTCCCGTCTCTAGTTCCAGCTCCTGCCAACTTAGCAGTTCGAAAGCAAGAAATTGCAAGTAGATAAATAGGTACCACTTCAGTGGGAAGGTAACAGCGTTCCGTGCGCCTTGGTGTTTAGTCATGCCGGCCACATGACCACGGAAACATCTTCGGACAGCGCTGGCTCTTCGGCTTTAAAATGGAGATGAGCACCGCAACCCTAGAGTCGGATTCAACTGGCTTTCGAGCAAGGGAATCTTTACCTTTACCTTTTACATATTTGATGTCTTGCTACCCCTTGAAATTATCCCTGATTACTCTGAGTCCCCACGGAACTGGAGGAATATGGATTCTTCCCATGGGAAGTATTAAGTTTCTGAACATCTGATTGTGGTTTAATTTTCCCAGCAAGTGTCATTGTCTATGAAGTCCATGTCATCACTGGGTCAGTGATGGGCGCGGGGACAGATGCGAATGTTTACGTGGCCATCTACGGGGAAAGGGGAGACACGGGGGAGCGTCACCTGAAGCGCTCGGACCACATGAACAAGTTCGAGAAGGATCAGGTAAGAGCATCGGAATTGCAGGGTGCAGACCAAAGCACCATCACCCTGATGAAAACCAAGAGCAATTAACATCGTTCTCTTCCCTTCTGAATCCGCCCATCTGTTAAGGTTCTTTGGTAGAGCAGAGTTATAAATGGACACAAACACATAAAGTGCCTTAACTATAACTTTTATTCTTTGTTCTGGGAAGAAATGACCTCGTGATTCAGCTCACCGAGATACAGGCAAATTGCTGCTGAAGTAAACTGCGCACGAAAGCTTATACCTTGAATAAAAGTTTGTTGGTCTTAAAGGTGCCACTGGACTCAAACTTGCAATGATTCAGCATTTGTCACTATTTCCCATTTTACCATTCAGTGTTCAATTGCGAAGTTTCCAATGAATTCTGAATGTGAAAATTTTCTGTGCTCACTTTGAAGTTCAGATGCTTATGGACAGTCATGTTAGCAGACAAGGATAATCGGGTCTGGAGACTGAGCCCTACGAGGAAAGGCTGAGGGCCTTGGGAATGTTTAGCTTGGAGAAGAGGAGATTGAGGGGGGACATGATTGCTCTCTTTAAATATTTGAAAGGCTGTCATTTGGAGGAGGGCGAGGAGCTGTTCCAGTTGGTGGCAGAGGACAGGACCTGAAACAACAGGTTTAAATCACATGCAGAAAGGTATCTGCTGGATATTAGGAAAAACTTTTTCATGGTCAGAGTGGTTCAAAGGTGGAATCGGCTGCCTAGAGAGGTGGTGAGCTCCCCTTCACTGACAGCTTTCAAGAAGAGGCTGGACTAATATTTGTCAGAGATGCTTTAGGCTGGTCCTGCATTGGGCAGGGGGTTGGACGAGATGGTCTGTGTTGCCCTTTCCAACTCTACGATTCTATAACATGTCTTGATCTGGTTGACTCACTCATAAGCTGCTCATTTGTAAAATGCAGTTAAATGTTGTATGTCCACCACCAAACACTATGAAGTATTAACTACTGGATTTAAATACATTGTGAATATTCATTAAAAAGACTGAATATTCAGAAATTATTTAATGAACGTGTGACATCTCCGTTCACAGAAGAGAAGCATTTGGGGGAAGAAAACAGTTTCATCTCTAATATAGAACTGACAGATATTAAAACATATAAAATGGGGAAATACTGAGTTCAAAACCACCCACATATTTTAGAAACATACAGGATTGTAATTCATTCTTGCTCTTTTGCAGGTGGATATATTCACTGTCAAAGCTGTTGACCTCGGGGACTTAAAGAAGTTACGTATTCGACACGACAACACTGGAAGCAATCCAGCTTGGTTCCTGGAGAGAGTAGAGATTATTGACACCAAGGAGGAAACAACGTGAGAAAATATATTTATTTTCATTTACTTAAAACATTCATTTAAGTGCCTTTCTCGCCTGCAGAATTCAAGGTGGCTTATAATATTAATAAAATGATTACAAAAGCACAATAATAACCATGTAAATAAAACAACAGTTATGGAAACACATGGAAGTTCACAATTTAAACACTCCATTCAGGACCGCCGATAAATAAAAACTAAATTGGTTGACAGCAATCCTTACTAATACCGTCTTCAACTGCCTCTTGAGAGCCAGTATTGTGTAGTGGCCAGGAAGGGCAGACCCTAATCTGGAAAGCTGGGTTTGATTCCTCACTCCTCCGTCACCTGAAGCCTGCTGGGTGACCTTGGGCCAGTCCCAGTCCTTCTCTCAGGCCTCTCTCAGCCCCACCTGCCTCACAAGGTGCCTGTTGTGGGGAGAGGAAGGGAAGGCGATTGTCAGCCGCTTTGAGACATGTGAGGCCTGCTGAGTGACCCTGGGCCAGTCCCAGTCCTCTCAGGACTCTCTCAGCCCCGCCTGGCTCCCAAGGTGCCTGTTGTGGGGAGAGGAAGGGAAGGCGATGGTCAGCCCCTTTGAGACACAGGAGGCCTGCTGAGTGACCCTGGGCCAGTCCCAGTCCTCTCAGGACTCTCTCAGCCCCACCTGCCTCACAGGGTGCCTGTTGTGGGGAGAGGAAGGGAAAGCGATGGTCAGTTGCTTTGGGATTCCTCAGGCTAGAGAAAAGTGGGGTATAAAAACCAACTCTTCTTCGTCTTTTTGAAGATTGATAGTGAGGGGGCCAGGCGCACCCCCCTGGGGAGGGTATTCCATAATCGTGGGGCTGCCACCAAAAAGATGCTCTCTTACCAGATGAGCTTCTTTGAAACCAGATTTCTGCCCTCAGTGAGTGAAACATTTGGGTTTCCAGCCAAGTAAATTGAAGAAGAAGAAGAAGAAGAAGAAGAAGAAGAAGAAGAAGAAGAAGAAGAAGAAGAAGAGATTGGATTTATACCCCGCCCTTCACTACCCAAAGGTTTCTCAGAGCGGCTTACAATCTCCTTTCCCTCCTCCTCCCCACAACAGACACCCTGTGAGGTAAAAGAAGAAGAAGAAGAGATTGGATTTATACCCCGCCCTTCACTACCCAAAGGAGTCTCAGAGCAGCTTACAAACTCTTCCCTTCCCCTTCCCATCACAGACACCCTGTGAAGTAGGTGGGGCTGAGAGAGCTCTGACAGAAACTGCTCCTGAGAGAACACAACTCTGAGAGAACTTGTGACTGACCCAAGGTTACACCAGCAGCTGCATGTGGAGGAGTGGGGAATCAAACCCGGTTCTCCCAGATTAGAGTCTGCACACATAACCACTACACCAAACTGAAGGTTGCAGGAAGGGCAGTTCAAGGAAACTGATTTGCTATTTGAGCTAGTGACCTGGATAAAATACCCACCTGGCTAAAATATCCAAACAAGCACAGAGTAATAGCTTTGAAGTACAGCAAGGGATGTGTGGAGTGGGGCCGGTCTCAGGGATCGACAGCCAAGCTTCTCCCCACAGCGTGGTAGTGGGCCCACCTTCAGTGGGAGGCATTGGATTCTTCCGGTGGGCAGGGAAGTGACTGGTTGCCATAGCAGAGAGCAAAAAAATTACGTACTCTGCTGCCTCGTAGATGGACTTACACAAAGCTGCCTTGGACTGAAACAGACCACTGGTCCATCAAGGTCAGTATTGTTTGAGTGGGTGAGTGGCTGATTTTCCCCAGCCCCATGCTCCACAGCCCCCACCCTGCTCACAAAAAGGTCCTTTAAAGCAGGGGTGTCAAACTCATTTGTTAACCGGATCTGACATAAATGAGACCTTGTTGGGCCGGGCCACGTGTGTCATAAAAGGTAATGCCAGGTGGCGGAGATATAAACTTTATAAAGGACACAGACACAAATATTTTAAAACATCATTTCTCTTGCAATATTTTGTTCATTTAACAGTGTCTGATAACTTATACCTCTTCCTCTGAATTACTGCGTCAAAATGTCTGCGCTGTTGCAATCTTGAGTATGCCGTTCAGGTGTGTATCTGTCAGCTGCAAACCTACGATGACACAGCAGCAGCAGAACTGGAAGAAGCAGCAGAAGACAGCCAGTTCCACTGCGGGCCGGATAGAAGCCCTCTGGGGGCCTGATCTGGCCCCCGGGCCGCATGTTTGACACCCCTGCTTTAAAGGGATTTATTGCAAGCCCAGCTTGTGGCCCACAACCACCCCTCTCCCTCCCCTTCTGCTAGATTTAAAGGTCCCTCCAGCTGGCCAGCGGGCCACGTGGTCCCCACCGATCAGCCCTTTAGCAGGAGGGGAGGGAGCAGGGTGTCACTCTTGGGGGCATCCCCACCCACACCCGGAATGCCCCCCCAAATCCCCCCGCGGAGTGACGAGGGGACCTGGCAACACCAGGCCCAACAGGGGTGTTCTCTTCATCTGAAACTATAGAGGTCTCTTCTTTTCAAGTTGAATATTCACCAGATTTAGCAAGAGGGCAGGACTCATTTGTGTTGTCCTTGCAGGTATTATTTCCCATGTCAGAGGTGGTTGGCAGTGGAAGAGGACGATGGGCAGGTGGCTAGAGAACTGGTGCCGGTGGCCGAAGCCTTTGTGAAGAAGGATCCAAACAGTTCCAGTTCTGCTGCAACGCTGGGCCTGGAGCAGAAAGGTTGGCCGTTTGCCTCTTTTTATTTCTTCCCTGTCAGTGCCAGAAACGAAGCCGGAGCAGCTGCCGAGATGGGGAGAGTGCCAGCTTCCTAGCAAGGACCCACACAATCAGCTCTGCCCTGTGTTTGCAGACCTTCAAACATTATAGCCTAGAGAAGGGGCACCATCTGCGCTAATGTAACATTTAACCAAGTTTATTTCAGCATAAACTTTCATGTGGCTCAATTGGCTCCGACTGGGAGGCTGGAACTGAGGACCTCTCTCATCACTCATGAAGTGTAATAACCACATTACGACTAGGGGTGTGCAAAAAACAAAATTCAGCCCATTCGGATTCGGCCGAATCAATTTCGACTGGCAGTAAAACTCCCACATGTCAGTTTCGTCAGTATATGATTCCGGAGTCTTTCGGCCAGCCGAATGTCAATTTCAGCCCCATTATATCCTATGGAGGAACTGCGGTGGCTCAAGTGGTTAAGACGCTGAACTACAGGCTGTGGAAGGTCAGTAGTTCAGCAGTTCGAGACCCGAGTGTGCCGCATGACGGAGTGAGCTCCCATCTCTAGTTCCAGCTTTTGCCAACTTAGCAGTTCGAAAGCAAGAAATTGTTGTAGGTCCTCTTCACTTTCTGCCTAAAGAGCATCTTGCTCAGAGTGAAAGAGGAGAGTGCAAAAGTGGGCTTGAAGCTCAACATCAACAAAACTAAGATCATGGCATCCGGCCCCATCACTCCTTGGCAAATAGAAGGGGAAGTCGTGGAAGTAGTTACAGACTTCACATTCCTGGGATCCCAGATCACTGCAGACTTGCAAGAAATTGCAAGTAGATAAATAGGTACCACTTCAGTGGGAAGGTAACAGCATTCTGTGCGCCTTGGTGTTTAGTCATGCTGGCCACATGACCACGGAAATGTCTTCGGACAGTGCTGGCTCTTTGGCTTTGAAACGGAGATGAGCACCGCAACCCTAGAGTCGGACACAACTGGCTTTCGAGCAAGGGAACCTTTACCTATATCGTATGGGGCATTGAAGTCAATGGCGAGGGGGCTTGAGGGAGAGACTCCAAACTCGCAGGGTAGCTGGTGGAGCCTCTCCCCCAGATACTAACCAAGTTTCAAGAGCATTGGACAAGGGGGTCCAATTCTACGGGCCCTCAAACAGGTTGCCCCTATCCCCTCCATTGTTCTCTATGATGGGAAAAAGTAACTTGGAGGGAATAGGG